GGGGACACACGCAGATCTGCCCTCACAGAGGAGGGAGAACTTGTACCTGAAGGGGGGCTGGGGGGGGCTCTGTAACTTACCTGGCTGCTTCTTGCTCCTCGTGGCCCAACTGAGGGCTGCAGGGGGCGGGGCTTGTTGCATGTGTCTGCCCCCTGGGCTCTTTACTACTGGAGTTCTGCTCCTGTTTGCTTCTGCAGGAAATGACCCCTGCATTCAGTATCAGCACTTATGAGGCTTAGCTGCAAGAAAATGGACCAAATGGGACAATGTCATCTTGCAGGTTTCATCAATGTTTTCAAGTGTCTCATCATATTCTAGTGAAAGTACTACTAGGTTGAGGTCTGTACCTAGCAATTTGTGAACAGCTTCCAGGTTTAGTGAAGGTTGCAGAGTGGCAAATGGCTTTATAATCAGCAACAGATCAGCATAAACTTCCAAGTGCTGACTCAGGAACTCAACAAGTGAGTCAGCAACTTCATTACAGATCACACCAATAACTCTCCTGTCAGATATGTACTGGTGGTGTTTTTGGACTCTCTTCCAATGATGAATAGAGTCCAACTTGGCATGTCTTTTGGGTAAGCAAAAGGAAGTGGTGTGTTGTTGAAGGGGTGCCTGTTGGTCGACATACAGGGGAATGATCCCCTGTAGCGTAACACAGAGGTCTGCTCAGGTAGATGCACTTTGGGCTTCAGTACTGAAGCATCTATATTTTGTGACAGCTTTAGAACTTTCTGTCCCTAGTACGCCATATAGAACTCACAGTAATAGTCAGGGGAGTGCATTCTCTGTCTCGACAACCAAAATAAGAAACAGAAAGAATATCTTAGTTACATAAATGATTGTTGAGGACTGAGATTCCCTGTAAAACTGAGAACACACTCCCCTGACTATTATTGTGAGTTCTGTATGGCATACTAGGGACAGAAAGTTCTAAAGCTGTCGCTAAATATAGAGTCCTCACAAATGGCTGCTCGGTGTTGTCCTTGTTTACTTTATCTGCATATCTCTGCTATGAGGGTTTGGGAGGAATAGATTTTCCTATCCTCTTCTTCCTGTCAATCTCTTTGTCTTAATTTCTCTAGTCATTCTCATTTCTTTTTCCCTCTTTCACATTTCCCCCCAGTTAGAACTAATTTAGGCAGTGCTCACAGGTTTGTGGATTTTGTGCTAGCACTGTCTTCTTGTGCAATAGGAAAAAAAGCTTAGAATAAACCCTGGTCTACTCATAATCCTATTCAGTTGGGTTCACTCCCAGGTAAATTCTTTAGGATTACACGGCTAGTTCCCCTGTCTCTATGGTTTCATTGCTGGGACTAACCAGCTAACTATTGATTAACTGAGCCAACTTCAGAGGACGGCGGAAGACAGGAGGGCCTGGCGGGAGCTGGTCCATGGGGTCGCGAAGAGTCGGACTCGACTGTGCGACTGAACAACAACAAAGGTTGCCTGAGCAGCTTTACTTCGTTACCCGGCTGGCACTGGGGTTTGCAACAAGGGAAACAGAGTTAGTAATGGGAAATAGACAGGGGTTTGGTTGATAGTTAGGATGGTTGCATTTTGTGAGAAGAAAGTACATGAATCTTGCAGAATGGAGAAAATCTGCATGTGTTCCTGAAACATATATGGAGCTCTTCATTGGTTGTCTGGTGGGTTTATGTGTCCATATGTTAATTCCAGAATGGTAGTACTCGTCTGGTGGCACCTTAAAGACTAACAAAAAGGCTGCACATCTGAAATTAAGACTGACACTGACATTGTGTGATGTATGTGGTTTTGTTGCTGTGAAAACAGTGCCTCAAAGTACACTGAATGTGTATGGAAATGATCTCTATTACACCTCAGAACGCATGAGTGTTGCCATCCAGTAAACATTCTCTGGAAATGCATCCACGTTAAATTTTTCTGAAAGGATTTAACAATATTCAAAGTTAGTGGTGACCTTTATGACTATTGGTATTTGATGTGTTTTAGCACTACGAGTAAGCTAGGATCTCTACAGAGCACATAAGTGATGCCCTCTTTAACCACAGGGCATGCAGTCTAATCTAGCCCACGCACAGAAATAGCTTGGTAGTGTTCTGTTTATAGACTGATCTGATCTGCCTTCTCCTTAACAAAGGACTTCTTTCACTAGGTGCACCACCAGAGACTTGCATCACCCTGTGCTCAGTCTGCGTTAGCAGCTAATGAGAAAGAAATGAGGAGGGAGATGCAGTTCAAACACTCTACAGAGCAGGAACCCAACAAAGCTTCTGTGGAATGTTGTATATTTAAGATTAGTTCCACTTTACCAGAGGCTTTAGTGGGCACCTATAGGCTTCATCAAGGATATAACATGCCGGACTTTGCTGTCCCATGTGGTACACCAGTGTGACACAGCCAAAAAGCAAGTAATTACATTAACCTGATCTTTTAGTCCTGGCACACGTTCTTTATATTGAATTATTTCTTAAAGTCAAAGACCAGTTCTAAAATACATACAATAGCACCACTAATACATAACGTTCTTTAGGGTTAATATGGATAGATTTAAAATGTTGGCATTTTCAGTTTCCCCCGTTAAATGGCACTGCCCATTGATTCCAACCATAACAAGCCAGAAAGTACTCAAATGATAGTTCACAACAAAAGGAAATGGGATGTTTTATTTTAACGTACTCCATTCCTTCACTTGTTCCTCAATGGACAATGGTGACACACACTATACTAGTTCCAGCATTGCAATAATCAGAGAATCACATATTTGCAGAGTCTTTTCAGTTTAGGAGATCCAAGCCAAGATTCCAAAGACATCAGAATATTGAATCAAAATAAGAGTTGAGGCTACATTTAAAAGCCAACAACTTTTACTGTGGCATGCTTTTTTGTACATGACCCTATTACATCAGAAGTAGGAAGCTGACAGTCAGATGATCAGAATATAGAAAGATGTTCTCGTGAGAATGAATGTGGTTTAGCAGGAAGGGTCTGAGCTGCAGATACAAGAACAGCACATGCCTTCCCCAGACAAGTGTATCTCAGCATAATCTCCTTTGCTTTAACAAATCTAGCTTAGTGCATTAGTGCAGGGCTGGAGGGCATCAGAAGGTGGACAGCAGCCCTGGGAGAACAGAAGGAGGCAGCCTATCTCCTGCAGCAGGTGCTGCCAAGATGCTGGTTTCTCCCATGGCAGAGAGGAACAAAGAACCTATCCTGGAGGTTCTGGCTGACTATGTAGATGAAACAAGTTCAGCTTTTGGGCTGGAACTAGGATCTGGGACTGGACAGCACGTAGTGCACTTTGCCCAGGCTCTACCCAGCGTGACCTGGCAACCTTCCGAAATCAGTTCAGCTTCTCAACAGAGGTACACTTGGGAGTCTGGTGCTGCCAGCAGGGGTGGACTATTCTCTCCCTTGTTGCCATGAGATAGAATTGTGTTAAATACAAAATCTTCACTTTCGTTATTACCCTGTTCTGTCTCAGTTCAGTTGTGAGTAGCCGCTTAGAGGGGTGGTTCCTTTGGATCTCAGTTTGTAGCAGAGCAGAAAGAATAGTTAAGAACTGCATAAAAATACTTGTGTTCTATGGCTTATAAAAACAGCTAGGTCATTCCCTGTTTTATGATGAATAGAGTCCAACTTAACATGTCTTCTGGGTAAGCAAAAGGAAGTGGTATGTTGTTGAAGGGGTGCCTGTTGGTAGACATACAGGGGAATGATCCCCTGTAGTGTAACACAGAGGTCTGCTCAGGTAGATGCACTTTGGGCTTCAGTACCTAGTGTTGCTAAGACTACTTAGTCTGGTTATGCATACTCTTAAAACAGTTATGGGTGTTGTGTGCCAGATTAAAACACAAAAAATAAGCCACAGTTTGGAATTGTGACGTGGGAACAAAGAGACATTGACCATATTGCATTGAGCTTAAAAGGTCCAGTAGTCAGCTTTAATTTGGGGGCAGGCCATAAGGATTTTTTTCAGACAGCTAACCAATATAAGCACCAGCTGCATTTTATCATGTTTCTAGTCCAAATTCCTGTCAAAAAAGGACAAGCGGTTTTTTAAAAACACTATCAGAGAGATACTTGCCATCCTATGATATTGTCTGACTGCATCTGAAGCCAGTGCCGCTTTTGGGGAGACTGGGACCATTTGGTGACAGCATGGTAGAAAAACGTATGACTCTCACCTTTGTCTACAGCATCTGTGCTTACATCCGTGCCACCAAAGTGACCAATGTCCGAGAACCCCTGACCATCGATGTGTCACAGCCCTGGAGTCAGTGGGCTGGCCTGGGGCAGGGCTGCTGTGACTTCATTGTGATCATCAACCTACTACACATGACTGAACAAGGCCTGGAGGTGTGACGGGGGGGGGAGTGGGAAACAACGGTGGGACCTGACCGTCTCACTGGGCTACTAATTGGGACTCTGTGGATTGCGTAACATCAGAGGAACAGGGTAGAGCCTTTTCCGACTCCCTGTTTTATGTTGCAGGGGATGTTTAAAGGTATAGGACAACTGCTGAAACCTGGAGGCATTTGCCTGGCCTACGGGGTGAGTATAGAAAAGTATTTCTTATATAAACATCAGTCACCAACATTTACAATAGAATTCCTGTCTCTCTGAACCATGTACTATCCCAGTGTCTACTCCATTTATATATCAAAAACTGTATAGTATGTTAGATTACAAAAGATGTGAACTTCACCAGTTATTCACCCTGATTGACTGTAAGTAAGGACATCTTCTGAATGCATATGGAATTTAGTAAGAAGTGATTTAATTCTACTTTGTTCTGGCCGTGTGTTGATCATGTCCAGAAGGCGCTGTTGACTTCCGACTTAGTGCTAGACGGAACAGTGAAAAGGAAAGATGAGATGTTCCCCCCCAGTCTAAAGGAAAAGGAGATCGGATTTCCCTCCAGCCCTTAAAAGAAAAGCTGCTCTCTCCTATAAAACGCTGGCCGCGGCAGCACAGTATGCATACATTATTGAAGGACAAGGGAGCAAGTAGCAGTAACAAATTCCACCAGTAAAGGACCACGGGGACTTACTATCCATAATTTCCTGTGCCTGAAGATCAAAAAGCTGACATTATCACTTCAAGCTTTCTTTGTCAAAAACAAGGAAGGCCATTTCTATTCCACCAACAGGGAAACAGTATGATTCAGCAGTATTTAATAGGTTAGATCCTGTGATCTATTTCTATAGGTAAAAAGGTACTTCCCAGCGGTGATGGGGTTGACCAATTTCACTTGCTAATTGTAGACCCCCACATCACATTTAATGTCATTGCAGCAGGGCGGGCTTGTACCCCAGAGACATTGAAGGAGTTTGGAAGTAAGGCAGAAAAGTTGAATTCCACTTGCAGATTTCAAGAAATTTAGCTCTTTTGAAGTTGTTGGTTACTCCTCATCTTGCTGTGCCTTTATACTAGGGGTGGCCAAACTGCAGCTCGGGAGCCACATGTGGCTATTTCACACAGTCTAATTTAATGTTAATAAAAAGCAAATATGCATATTTTCAATAAAAACGTGTATAATATTCATGTCTCGCAGCTCTCATACAGCTGACGTTTACTCTTTGTGGCTGTTACGTTAAGCAAGTTTGGCCACCACTGCTTTATACTAAACCACTGCCCTAAGAACGCCACAGATTACTCCTATCTGTAGCAGCCAAGTAATTCTGATTCTGTTTCCACTCCACAGCCTTTTGCCATGAATGGGATCATCCTACCAGAATGCAATGTGCAGCTAGATGAAATGCTTCAGGCCAGGTAAATTAGAGCTGAAGGACTGGATCTTACTTCTTTAGGACCACCGAAACCCTAGCGAGATCCGCCAGAAGGGAAGCACAGAGACTTATGTGCAATGTTTGTTTACAAGTTCAGCATTCAACTTCTAGCATAACAGCACAGGTTATAGAAAGTGGGAGTTTATATTCGACCATCAGCCTATTCTCCCCCTTCTTAGGGACAAGGCCTAAGGACTGGATTCAAAGAAGGAAGCTCTGCTCACTGTACTTTTTTCAATGGCAGGAACCCCGAGTGGGGGCTGAGAGATGTGGAGGAGCTTCGTCAGCTGGCCAACACCAATGCGTTATGGCTTGAGCGGATGGTAAGAGGCAGAAGCCAGCCCAGACTCTCACAAGGAACAGTGCCCTACAACTGCAGAGACTCTGCCCCCATGCCTTGTCCCTGGCGATCTCTGTGATCCTTGTTTTCCCCACCTTGTCTGCATGAATCCCCTCTTCTACAGCTCAACAGGTTATTTTTCTTCCTCAGGTGGAGATGCCTGAATATACCAAATGCCTGATCTTTCGCCGGAGGCAGTTATCTGAATGCTAGCTATTGGATAGCAGCAGCAGCAGCAGAAGAAGAAGAAAATAGGATAGCAATATTTACAGGAAGGATGTAAAAATTAAACACTGAAATCAAAGTGGATGTCTCTGATGTTTATTCACAGATGGGGTTCTGTAAAGGGGCTTGGGGAACTGCTCTCCCAGTTCAAAGCTGCAGAAGGGCTCCTACCCTCAGGCCACATGCTGAGCGCGACAGTCACACATCACAATAGCTGGCTCTGCAGAACGCCTCTGCAGGCAGAACTAAAACTTAATACAGCGCTCATGAGAAAGCACAGACTGAAAAAAGTTTTAAATACTTTATTGTCACTGATTCCATTCTGTCTATGCCAGCACTAAATATGAGAGATGAGTCTTCAAAAGCGGAGAGGATGGAGAGGGGCTAGGACAGAATACAGGGAACGAAAGAGATAACAGTCCTGGAGGAGGCGGAATAGGTTGTTAAATTATTATGGGAAATGTGGAGGGTCCCAAGTGTGTGTGTG